TTATAATTTTGCATTTAGTCCTTTTTTTGTTTATATATTTGTTTTAAATTTTTATTCAGTAAAAAGTGATTTTTTTTAGTTTAAAATTCTAATTTAAATTGTTTGGCAGTAATAACTTATTTTTTCAGTCCTTTTTTGTTGTTTATAAATTTATTTAACTTTTTTTTTTCAGTAAACAGTGATTTTTATTGAGCTTAAAGTTCTCATTTAAATTAGCGCTTAGTGAAAAGTGAGTTTAAAATCTTAATCTACATTAGTGCTTAGTGAAAAATGAGTTTAAATGCTTAATCTACATTAGTGCTTTGTGAAAAGTGAGTTTAAAATTTTAATTAAATTAAGTGCTAAGTGAACATGTCTGTTGAGAAGATCACCAGTGGTCAAGAAGCTCTCGCTGTTCGAATAGTTGGTATGCCTGGAGATGGCACTTGCCTTTTTCATTCTATATCATACGTTTTGCACAGCCATGTTATGCTTAGCCTTGAAGTTAGAAAGGATATTGTGGCATATGTATTGAATAATTGGAACCAACTCCAGGTATGGACCGATGATGGTACAGGAAACCCATACGTGGATGAAGCGACATATAGAAATGATATGATTAAGCCCTCAACTAACGGATCAGCATGCAAGTTATTAGCTGCTTCTGAATTATTTCGATGTCGTTTTCAAGTTTACCGTGATGGTTGAATTTTATATGTGTTTGGAGAACCAGAAATGCCTCTGAAACGTCTTAGATTTACAGGGGACAATTTAAGTTGGGGACATTTTGATGTCTATGAATATGAAAGTTCTCTAGAAACAACTTTAAAGCAGAACAGATTGGAAGGAGAGACAACAAGAAAAAAACGCGTAAAACAGCGCGGTAAATTTTAAAACAAAGCTAGAAAGAAACAATTCGCGCTGCTGCTAATTACACAAATAAAAATCCCGAAAAGAATAGAAAGGCTGTTGCAAAGTATACAGCTAAAAATCCTGAAGTGAATAGAATGGTCGTTACAAAGTATGTAGCTGAAAATCCTGAAGTGAATAGAAAAGTTGTTACAAAGTATGTTAAATTGCATCCAGATATTAATAGAGTTTCTGTTTTGCGTTTTGATCCAAACAATGAAAAATGTTTACTTAAGAAAAAACAAGCTTGGCTCAACAAAACTTATTCAGGATTTTTTTATGACCTAACTATAGACTATGAATCTGAAAAAATGCTTGGAGCTATGAATGTTGTCTGCACACATTGTTGAACACTTAAATGGAAAGAAGAATCCCAAGGTTTGTGCTGTAACAATGGTAAAATATGTCTTGCTCCTCTTGGTAAACTTCCTGAGCTTCTCAAAGATCTTTTGTATAGAAAAAATCCGAAAAGTAAACGTTTTTTAAATAATATTAGAAAATACAACAACACTTTTCAAATGACATCATTGGGTGCAAAGAAAATTGAAGAAGGAAATTATATGCCAACATTTAAAGTTCAAGGACAAGTGTATCATCTAATTGGTAGTCTTTTACCTCAGCTTACTGAAGAACCTAAACTTCTACAATTCTATTTTGTTGGAGATGATGAAAAGGAAGCTAAAATGCGATGCACGAATATACCTGGTATTAAATCAAATCTGGTGCAACAGTTACAAAAATTGCTGCACGAACACAACAAATATGTTAAAGAATTTAAATCAGCAATCGATATAATTTCATCTAACCAAATTGACTACCAAGTTGTCATTCATGCAGATAAAAGACCTTTAGATTCTTATCCAGGCAGGTTTAATGCTTCTACCACAAATGAAATTGGTATCGTCATTGTTGGACAAGAGTTTGAAAATAGGGATATTATTTTAAAAACTAGAGATAACAAACTTCAAGGCATAATTGAAACACATAGGTCTTATGATGCACTTCAATATCCACTGATGTTCTGCTATGGTGAAGATGGATATTCTGTATAAATACATCAGATAGATGCTGTCAGTAAAAAGCATACAAAAAAAAAAAATGGTTTCTGCTGCCAATTTTTATTCATACCAATTAATGGTTAGAGGTCCATCTGAAAATCGCATACTTTATTTGAGAGCTCTCCTTAATCAATTTTTAGTGGACATGTATGCAAACATTGAATCTGAAGAACTTAGTTACATTCGAAGAAATCAAAGAAAGCTGTGAGTAGAAAATTATATACATTTAAAAGACTCCATATCCAGGCTTGTTCGGGAAGTGGGAGCGATTGCTCTCGATTGCTGACCACGTAAATAATATTTAGTTGCGAAAAGCTGGTCAGATTTTTTAGTCGTTTTGAGAACATTTTAAAAAGCAAAAAAAAAAAAAGCGACGAAGATTAATTGGACCGATGAGAGACAATTACAAAAAAAAAAAAAAAAAATAGGCAAATAAAATATCTTTAAACGCGAAAAAATTTAAAGCAAAATAAATTACATTTAGAACAAATATTTTCAAAACATCGCTCTTTCATAATTTTTTTTTTACAAAATTAAGCGATGTTTTTTTATGGAAACATCAACTTTTTATAGAAACATACAACCGTCAACTTAAACGATTGTTTAAAAGGGAAACAAATATTCTTTATTTAACTAAGTTTGCAAGTTTTTGTTTTACTTAAGCTTAATTTATTTTATAAATAAAAAAGTTAATTTTTTTAATTCCTATTTTATGTTTCGCGTAGTTTGAAAAGTTTAACATATTTGAAGCGATTCTTCTTAGTAAGATAAACAAATGAAATAATTAAATCATTGAATTACTATAAGAATTAAATCATCAAGATAGAAATCAACTTAAAAGGTTAAAAATACTTAATAACCAGTAAGCAAAAATGCTTTACAATATCGCTGATAATGTTTAGTGAGTGGGCTTTTAAATTTTAATTAGTATTTAAAGCAGAAAAAAGTATAACGAGTTTTAAGAATGGCAACTTAAGCGAAAATAATTAGATTTAGTAAACCAATATCTAGAAATTTTTCTTTATACTTAATTATTTGCTTTATATATTTGTGTTCTGTCGTGACCTCAGGCGCGATGCTTGTTCATCCGCGAGTAACTTTGTATGCGTTGTTTGTGTTTAGTAACCAGAAACTTCTTATATGTTTGTTACATAATTAGTTTTATTAACTTTAACGATTATAACTTCATTGAAAACATAATTATTTTTGTAAGTCTTTGTTTAAATCATAAAAAAAGCTTTAAAAGATACATTACGATAAAAAACAAATACACAAAATTACATTTACATAAAGAATACAATCTCTTTTAAAATAAAAAATAAGAATATACTAAAAAAATCTATGATTTATAATAAACTTTTAAAATTTTAACAATTTAATTAGTATATATTTAAAACATTTATTTTCGTAAACAAATAATATATATTCTTAAAACAATGCTAAAAATCTCAAAACGTTACAAATCGTGAATAATACAATATCTAAAACATTTTAACAGAATACTCTAGAACTTTATCAGCGTATTTTTTGAACCAATAGAATTAGTTTGTTCGTAAATTGGCGGGTTTTTAGTGTTTGCAAATATTCTTTTTATTATTTTGCACAAAGATGTTTTGAGAACATTCAAGTTTTTTATGTTTCCATGTATGTCCGTAAAACTAAAATTTTTTGTTTTGTACATAAACTTAAATGTTCTCAAAACAACTAAAAAACCTGGCCAGTTTTACGCAACTAAATATAATTTCCGTGGTCAGTATTCGAGAGCGATCGCTCCCGCTTCCCGACCAAGCCTGCATATCCCATCTTAGTAATTTAAATGAACTTGGCTAAGTTGTAAAATATTACCACATTATTCACGGGAGGTCCCCGCTACATGCACGAGTGAACGCAAGGCGCAATGATATATGTTCATTACTATGGCCGACCTGATTTATTTATAACTTTTACCTGCAATCCTTAATGGACCAATATTTCTAAAGTATTATTTTCTGGCCAAAAAGCTCAAGATCGTCACAACATAATTAGTTGCGTATTTCATTTAAAAATGATAAAAATAATGGAGTTAATTACAAAAAGTAATATTTTTGGACCTACGACTTGCTATATGTACACGATCAAACAGCAGAAACGAGGACTTCCTATATATATGTTACTATATATATATGTTATATATTCTATATATATATGTTATATATTCTATATATATATATATATATATATATATATATATATATATATATATATATATATATATATATATATATATATATATATATATATATATATATATATATATATATATGAGTGTACTTGAAGGGAGATACAAAACCCGAAGAATTCTCTGAACTTTTAATGATTATTGGAGATAGAAAGTTAAAAGAAAACCAAAAGAATCATAAAATCAATATTCCTAAAAATCTTCGTGTTTTAGTAAGCAGCTTACAAAATCTTCTACTAACTGTTTATCCAGGACTACAGAACTTACACAAACAGGACGTGTCATGGTTAAGAGAAAGAGCTATTTTAACAACTAAAAATGATACGACAACAAATATAAATAATATTTTGTTACAAGAATTATTGTCAGAAGAAAGAACTTATAAGTCGGTTGATTCAGTCGTAGAAATTGAAGATGCAGTATATTATCCAGTAGAATTTCTTAACAGTCTCAATCCTCCAGGCACACCTAAGCATTATTTAATATTAGGAGTTGGGGCACCAATAATGCTACTCAGAAATTTACAACCACCGAAACTTTGCAACGGTACGAGTCTTCAGATAAAGTCTCTTCATAATAATCTCATTGAAGCAACCATCTTTACAGGCAGTGGTTCAGGAGAAACAGTATTCATCCCGAGAATCCGATTAATACCAACTGATCTTATTTCAGTTTAAGTGCCTTCAATTTCCAGTAAGACTTTGTTTCGTAATGACTATAAATAAATCGCAGGGACTAACTCTATAGTATAATACTAGCTGTATCACATGCACAGCACGGGTATATTTAACTTGTATATAGATATAAAGTATAAATCAATATAAAAACAAAATAAC